TGAAAAAGTTAAATCTGCCACAGGCGCATATGACAAAGTTTTACTCAGCTGTTATTGAGTCAGTTCTGTGCTCCTCTATAACTGTCTGGTTTGGGTCAGCCAGCAAATCAGATACAAGAAGACTGCAGCGGACTGTTAGGACAGCAGAAAGGATCATTGGTGTCCATCTGCCCAATCTTCAGGACTTGCACATCTCCAGAGTGAAGAAATGGGCAGGTAACATCATCAAAGACCCCTCTCACCCCTGACACAACCGGTTTGCACTTCTCCCCTCAGGCAGACGCTACAGATCTCTGTGCACTAGAATATCTAGGAATAAAAACAGTTTTTCCCCCATGCCATCTCCAGCCTAAACAGCTAAGTTTCTGTTCTAATGTCAGATATGTATGTATATATGTATGCATGTAAGTACCAAGAGCTTCTTAAAAACCACAACAAATTCCTTGTGTGTTTGCGAACACTTGGCGAATAAAGCGGATTCTGATTCATCTCAGCTTGTCTAACAAACATTTCTTGCTGGATGAAGGACCATCACATTCAACTCAATCTTGCCAAGACAGAACTGCTTGTCGTTTCATCACAATTTCACCATCCAGTTAGGCACATCAACCATAACTCCTTCAAAAACAGCTGACTTTCTCAGACCACTTGATGTTTGCCTACAAAACCACCACTGGCTAAGACTTATGTGCCTCTAAGCTAGCGTTCTGCAAGTAAACGTTGCTTTATTGTGCCATCCAAAGAGGCACAAAATCACTTTCAAAGACTTTTAAATTAAATGTTCCCTCCTGGTGGAATGACCTGCCCAACTCAGTCCGAGCAGCTGAGTCCTTAACCATCTTCAAGAATCAGCTAAAAACACATCTCTTCCATCTTTATTTGACCCTGTAACTCTAGCTCTCTCTATTCTAATTCTATTCTTTATAAAAAAAAATTAAAAAAACTTTCCCGTTTTAGACTTGCAATTTATTCATTTACTAACTTCTTGTTTTCTTAAAAAAAAATAAAATAAAAAAAAATAACACTAGCTTCTCTAATATTTTTGTAATTTTCCTTTGTTTTCTTTTTATTTATTTTACAATTAACAAAAGCAAACAAGGGCCTCTAACACTAGCTTGCTCTATTATTTTTCTATTCTATCTGTTTTCTTTTTATTCATCAGTGTGCAAAGTAACAGAAAACTAAAGAATTTGCAGAGTCTGGAGAAATTTCCTGAAGAAAACTGGGCAGTTTAACTCATGAGTAATTATTATAAAACACAAGATCATCCAGGTAACAATGCACAGTATATCATACGTAAAGGTTTAAACTGGGTCATTTGTGTAAACTCAATTATTATTTTGTCTTGTGGACTATATGTTGGCATTTGTAATGTGAAATAGATTATTCAGGACAGTATTAAAAAAAATAAATAAAAAAAAGTAATTTTTATGAGCCTTCTTATTCTATTATCCTTTTGCAGAAAGTAGTAAACTCACAACCTCAACTGTAAAAATCTGTTTTTGATTTCCAAACAGTCCCTTTGCAAACAGTGTATCCATTCAGACAGAAACCATTGAGACTAAAGATTAAATCCATTGAAGAAATGTTGCAACTTCTTCAACTACCTTAAAAACTATTCTCAAGTGCAACACTATTGATTTGGTTCTGCAAGATAAAGAGCGGTTTTGTTCATTGATTAATACCATTAAAAACATGCTGGTAGGCATGATGCACAACCGACAGCTGTTGACTTAATATTGCTCAACTGATATTAAAAGGTGCTATATAGCACTAAAAGCGGTTCTTTGGCTTGTAATCATAGGGGAACCACTTTTCGTGCTATTTAGCACCTATTTTGACAGGTGATATAGCACTTTGTCAAATGGTGCCATGCAGAACCATAAGAGGCAGCAATAATATAGAACTCATAAAAGAACTACAGATTTTGTTAAAAAGCAACCAGAAACAAATTATTTTACCATAAGTTCATTGCCATCACATATGTGCTTTATAAACAATATTGTAACAGCCAAAGAGAAACCTACTTTAACTTAAAATTAAAGTCAAGGGTCAAGAGGCAATTAAAGCAAACACTATTCACCAAAATGGTAAGTTGAAAAAAAGAAAACATCTAAACCTTAATTCTCAATAAAGAACTTCTGTTTTAGATACTCCAGAAATAAAGTATAACTGGTTAGTAATGTGTGAAGTTGGTGTTGCTGTTTGTGGAGAGGTCCTTTTTTTCTGAGGTCAAAGGTCTCATGTGGGGGCCCTGGAAAATTTCTTTATGGGGGCCTTGGGGGCAAAAAAAAATAATATCTTCAAGAAATAGACTGTATTTTAATGTTGTTTTAACCCTTTCCCCAACTAAACTAAGAGACTAAATCCGAGTTCACACTGCACGATGAGCAGTTGAGATTTAAACTGAAGCAGCTGAACACACATAAACTTACATCCAGAACTAAATATCAGGAACAAATTGTGTGCTATAATAATGAAAATAATAGCTTTTTGTTGCAATTCAATTCCAGATGAACTACATATATAACTACAAGGATTAACCTACATGACAAAACCCTGTTAAATATTCAGCTATTAAATGCATTTAGTCCTCTCTCTCTCTCTCTGTCTGTGTGTGTGTGTGTGTGTGTGTGTCCTGGACTCACAGAGACCCCCGCCCAGCAGCAGAGCAACATCCATTCAGGACATGAGAGAGCAACCAATGAAGATGAAGAATGAAAACAGACTGAGAGATAGATGGAGAAATCAGAAAGACACATGAAATAGAGGAGAGCAGACAGTGTGAGTGTGACGTCTGTCTCTGAACACATGCTGTAATCACACACTAAATCATGAAGAATGAAAACAGACTGAGAGATGAGAGGAGAAATCAGAAAGACAGATGAAATAGAGGAGAGCAGACAGTGTGAGTGTGACGTCTGTCTCTGAACACATGCTGTAATCACACACTAAATCACTGCGCCATCTCAATGTCTGAATCTGAAGTATAAATCATATTGTGACAGACGTTGTTGAATATGATTCACAATTTGTAAAGATTTATTAGAGAAAACCAGTAAGCCAATATTACACCATGTAGCTGTTACATTAAACAGACTTAATGCATAAAATGTACTTTCAGTGCTGCAACATAATGAGGTCAGCTTGACTGAGCCATATTAATTAACATTTTGTAATTTATTTTGATTTGAATACATTTTGGATGTTGAATTTAGATGTTAAATATGAACTGAAAAATATAAACAGTAACATAAAACATCAAGAAAGCAACAATATAAATTCATAGATGATCAAATGAATTGTAGTTTTAGTGAACATTGTTTCATTAAACAATAGTGTTAAATACAGGGTGAGCCAAAAATGACTTCACAACAAAACACAGTTTAGAACACATAACTCTAGGATGGCAGAAGTGTAATAAATAAATAAATACATACATATCAATCATTAAGAGGTGATTTTATCATGATAAAATATTGAACAGAGAAAAACACATCGACCTAAAATATCTTAACAATCCACCAGATGAAACTGAGTCTGTGGATCATCTGAAACAGTGACCACATCTACAGTACACTCTAAAAAAAAAAAGGTTCTTCAGCAGTTCTTTGGAGTCGATGAGGTGCTTTATAGCACCACTACCATAAAACCTGTAAGCCCCTGTATAGTTCTTTAAAGGTTCTTTAACTCTCTCTTAGTCTCATAGTTTAGTTGAGGAAAGGGTTAAAACAACATTAAAATAGTCTGTTTCTTGAAGATATATATATTTTTTGCCCCCAAGGCCCCCATAAGGAAATATTCCAGGGCCCCCACATGAGACCTTTGACTTCAGAAAAAAGGGACCTCTCCACAAACAGCAACACAAACTTCACACATTACTAACCAGTTTGACTTTATTTCTGGAGTATCTAAAACAGAAGTTCTTTATTGAGAATTAAGGTTTAGATGTTTTAGTTTTTTTTCATCTAACCGTTTTGGTGAATAGTGTTTGCTTTAGTTGGCTCTTGACCCTTGACTTTAACTTAAAATAAGTTTCTCTTTGGCTGTTACAATAGTGTTTACAAAGCACATATGTGATGGCAAGGAACTTATGAAAAAATCATTTTGTGCATCTCTGTTGCATTTTATCAAAATCTGTAGTTGTTTTATGAGTTTTATATTATTGCAGTTCTATGATACTACTTGACAATGTGAGAAAATAGTATAAACCACTTTTAGAATTATGGGTTATAAAGAGGTTTCAATTCTGTCACTCTTAGACAAAGAATCAGCATGTGAATCTCAGCAATGGTGACAACATATTCTGATAATTTTGGTATGATTTTTGAACATCACAAAACAGGGCAGTAAAAAGTCACAACAAAAATAAAAGCAAATAGTAAGAATAAAAG